TCTTACCTTGTTGCCCTCGGTAGAGTGCTATGGCATCACAGCTCACTGCAACTTCCAGCTCCTGGGCTCAGGCCATTCTCCTGCCTCAGCCTCCCACGTAGCTGGAACTACAGGCACCTGCCACAACACCCAGCTATTTTTTTGTTGCAGTTTGGCTGGGGCTGGATTTGAACTCGCCACCCTCGGTATATGGGGCTGGCACCCTACTCACTGAGCCACAGGCGCCGCCTGGGATTCTTGTTTCTTACTCAGGTGAAGTGATCTGTGAGCCTCCTAATAACAAGCTGGACAAATTCAGTGGGAGTCTCTACTGGAAGGGAAGCAAGTTTCCCTTGAGCAACCAGAACACGCTGCTGCGAGGCTGTGTGCTGCGCAACACAGACTGGTGCTTCGGGCTGGTGGTCTTTGCAGGTGAGCCCCATGTCCGCAGAGGGAGAGGTGTGGGTGAGTGGCTCGGCCATCTCTTCTTCTGGAGTATGGGATGGGGCTGGGTAGGCTGGCAGAGCACATGAAGTAAAAGCCTCCAACCCTGAATACATGAACATGACCATGTCCTACACTCTGAGGACCAGAGGAGAAGCTTAACGCAGATTTGTTACTTGGTTTTCTTAGCCCTTCTCATCCTTTCTAGGTCCTGACACTAAGCTGATGCAGAACAGTGGCAGAACAAAGTTCAAGAGAACAAGTATTGACCGCCTGATGAATACACTGGTGCTCTGGGTTAGACTCCCACATCTGGTTCCCTACCCCATCCCCTCTGGTTTTCCCTGGGTGGCTCCTTTTGCTTTCATCTCCCTTTCTTGGTCAGTAGTCAGGTTGGGCTGTAAAGCCGCTGGCAGGTCAGCTACTCAAAGGCAGTGTTTATTTCAGACTCCTTTTAGACTTGGAAGATGTTATTTTTAAAAACATTAGGAACATGAATTAATCAACAGTTTAAAGAAAGCTAAAATTCCAGTTATGATGATGACTTAGTGCAACATGTCACCTTATGTTTGCTTTTGCCAGGGACAAGGAAGCCTTCATGGGGATAGAGAAGGAAATAAAAAGAAACTTTCCATTTGGAAGATGGTTACCAGGGTCTTTTCCCTCAATTTCTAAGTATGAAGGGTCCCAAAGGAAAACTTTCTGTTGTAGTTTTTGGCAATTACTGCATCCTTCTCTTGTTTATTTTTATTTATTTATTTATTTATTTATTTTTGAGACAGAGCCTCAAGCTGTCGCCCTGGGTAGAGTGCTGTGGCATCATAGCTTACAGCAACCTCCAACTCCTGGGCTTAAGCAATTTTCTTGCCTTAGCCTCCCAAATAGCTGGGACCACAGGCACCTGGCACAAGGCCCAGCTATTTTTTGGTTGCAGTTGTCATTGTTTTTTGGCGGGCCCGGGCTGGATTTGAACCCGCCAGCTCTGGTGTATGTGGCTGCGCCTTAGCCACTTGAGCCATAGG